AAACCCTTTAGCACAAACATACCTACTGTAATATTCAATAGCATCCATACCAGGCAATAGCCAGCTTCCACTGAATTCAAGGGCACTTGAATGAAGGACATTCATTGACTCCAAAAGGAATGAATCAGGCCCATACTGATTTTGCAGTTTTAGAGATGAGAGTGTATAAACATGTGTGAGCTAATTATGGATTTGTATATGTGTTCATACACTATGTGGAAATATGCGTAGATATATGCATGAAAGTGAATTAAATTTTACTGTATAGTTCTGTTTTGCATTGCTAAAAAAACAAACAAACAAAAAACCAACAAAAAAAATCCCAAGAATTGTTGGAAAGACAAAAGATGACTTTTCCTTCTCTAACCTTTAAATCAAATAACCTATTATCTCCATGTTATTGTTCTGAGGTAATGCTGTGCTATAAAACAGGAATAGAAGAATCTGGTCTGTGTCATGAATAGGTATATTGCTGTCTTTCAGATGAGATTTTTAATGTTAAATGTATATTTGTTAATAATATATCTCAACTGTTTAAACCATATTTTAAAATGTTTCTTGAATAATCTTATTTGAGGTGTTTTAGGCATCTTGTTTCTATGGGAGAGTTCTGGAGTATGAGGATGTCAACTCTTCATCAAAAATAATTTTATAAGATGACTTTTTTTTCTGCCTTTAAAGATCAGGAGGGTACCCAAGAATGATTTCTAAGTGTTTCACTCATTATAGAAGTTCAACTTCCTTCTACAAGATGTTGTTTTTATGACACAAAAGTGTGTCATAAAAAATTAACATTTAGTTATAACAAGGAGATGTTTTTATTTCACTTAACATCTGTAGCAGATGTGAAATATGTAATTATTTTTGTAAAAGACTTCATAACTTTCACGATTCTTTTGTTTGGCACATCTTTCTTCTATTGGGCATTTTAGACAATTGATAAGCATTATTCAGTGGCATATGGTCTGAGTCTGACGTGCTTTGAAAAGAGTACAGAGTACTAATAATGAGGATTCTGTGAAAATGGGAAAACCAGCACAACAGATATGCTTTGAGAAAGTATGGGTTTTTAGCATCTTGAAACAATATATCACACTCAAAGGGACAGAATTGGGCTGCACAATCTGTTAGCTCATTCTTGTCCAATCTGGTCTCCTCCTTTCTTTTGGAGCCAGCATTGTCATCAACTTGCTGAATTATACTCTGACTGGAATGTATTTCAGGCACTGGGTACTGTATCTACTTAAATGGAATCCTATCTTTCTACAAAAGCTTTTTAAGTATAATAAATTTAAAATATAAAAAAGTTCTATTAGCTTAAAGTAAATGGTTCAACAGTTTACATATGTGCAGGAACAAAGAAAATGACTACTTACTAGTTTGAGAAAATCTAGCTTGTTCAGAGATTAGAATATAAAAGGTAGAAATAAACTTTATTTTTTATAATAAATATTTTGCAATGCTACTAGAGCCCCAAATTGGTTTTCAAAGGTTTTTTATTAAAAGCTGGTTTCCTAATCAACTTAATGCTAGGAAAGCACAGGAGGTATTTTTGTTTGTTCATCAAAAAATCCGTGAAGGATAGCAAAACCTTTTCTGCATGGGCCCAATCCTGCCTGTCTTGGAGTCCAGGGAAAAATCGCTCCTTGCATTAAGTTCCCTGCATCGGTGTTGTACGGGTTTTTTTGTGTCAGTGCCATGTATATTTCCTTATATTGCTTTTAATGTACTTTTTCTTTTCTGAAGATAAAATATATTTTCTTTACCCTTTTATGAATTAACATTACAGTTGTTTTCAGAAAGATAAATAGTAATGAAGTTATAACAATGCAGAAACAGTAGATTTGTTTTATAGTCATGATGCTGTGTCTGTTTCTGGTTAATGAACCTATTAATTGTGCCGTTATTTCTTAATAGCAAGTGATAATATTCTTACACTACACTGACATAAGAGAGTTATATTTTTAAATAAATTGTCATGAGAATTTTAAGCCTTGGATTGTGCCTATGGGTAAAATAGTTGTGTTTATTACATTGATTTATGAGAAAGTAAGGGGTCAGCTAAAAATGACTAGGATTCCCTGCTGCTAAAATGACAGGATAGTAGTACATGCGCCAGCTCTCCTGCTAAGGGTTCTTTAGTTTTCCTGTGGTAAATTACACTGCTTTGCAGGTATGACTAACAGCACCACAGGCCACCGCTGTAATACAAGTCAGAGGGAAAAAAAAAAATAACCACCACTGATTGTAAAAGCAAGAAGACAATCTTGAATAAATTCCCAGCAGTGTGAATTTAGGATGTTTTATTCCGGCAACTACATGGCAAAAAGGTTTAGCTCAGGTTCTGTACTGACAATAACTAACATTGTAAAACTGTGTGTGCTGAAGGAGCAGTCTAATCACTGTAGACTAATCCAAATCAGCTAATTTGATCCTTGTACTCTCCTAGAGGAAAACAGAGTTTAGATTCATTATTTTCCCAATACCAAATTCTGCTCATGTGAATAATGAAATAAATGTCATTAGAACTGGCTTGTTCCCTTACATTAAAGACATAACTATCATAAGGTGATGATTCTTGGTGGGGAGGAGAAAAATTAATTCAGCAATATAATATCTTTTGTCAATTTTTGAATGCAGAAATTGAGTAAAATGTAAATTCATTAATTTTGTCATTTATTTTTATGATATTTACCAGTGCCATTTTCTACTTTTTCATCTTAATTCCCTGTGAAATGTATACATATAACTAGTATTTCTCAAAGTGTCTATCTAAGCATTAGGAGCCTGTGCAGTGCTAGTACCACTTCATAAATCCATAGCACAAAAAGCATTAATAGACTCGAAAATATATTTGTTAATGTATGTTGATGGTCATAATTGTAGAGAAAACTGTATACAGGCTCTCATTTTATCAAGCTTTTTTTTGTCTTAGAAGAAAAAATCTTTAAGATGGGTCATAATTCATGTTGTCTACACTGCAGTCACATGTCTACATGGTGACTAGAGAAATCAAAGGTTTGCTGATTGTATCTAGATAGATAAACTTTATCCTTTAACATATCCTCCTTTCATTCAGTTCTTTACTCTCTTCTACTTATCTACCCCTTTTCTTGTTTCCCTTTCCTAAATAGACATATCCCCTCTTCACTTCTCAATTCATTGTTTTTTTCTTTCTGCTTCCTTTCCTTTCAGTGTTTTATAGTCCCTTTCACTCTTTTCTTCTGTAAGCATCCTTGTCTTTTATATATGCCAGCTCAGTTTATACAACAAACCTTCCATGTCTTATAACATAGGAAACTCTCAGGAACATCCAGGCAACTGCATTGTTGGATAGGAGCTTAAAGTTTAGGAGCTTCCATTGACAGATCAAATTGATTGGACCAAGCCAAAACTTGAACAATATTTTTTTTTAAATTGGGTTCTCTGTTATTTCCATCAGTTGTGGTTCTGTTAGTCAATACTACTTCAATAAATAGGCTTTTTAAAATGCTTTGTAATTTGCTTTTCCTGACAAAATTGATTGATTTACAAAATCTATATTGTTTGTTTGTTTTTTTGACTATTGTATTCTCTGGCTTTTTTGTACCTTTTAAGGATTTTTTTTTTTTTTTAATAATAGTAGTGACATATGTTACTTGGGTTTAGATATGTGAATAATTTATTAACATTAAAGTCTGAGAATTATAAAACCCAGGAAATATTTAGAGAAGGTTACAATTCTGAACATCGGAAGTGCAACACCTGTGAGTCCTAAGTGGAAATGAAGATATCACTGCAGTCATGCAGGTATTATATCTCAGTATTTTGAGATAGTCAGTCTAAGATGAGACTGAATACTCAGTCCAAATTCTTCAGTTACCCTGAGTAATTTGTTCTGCATTACTGTTTTTTCTCTAACCTTAGCTAGACCTCCTAGGTTAACCGTGAATGATGCTGCCCATAAGTATGCAATATCATCATGCCACTGCTGGTGGCACCAGGAAACCACTAATAAGAGATGAGGTTTGAAAGTTCCTGGCTATAATTATATTAAAATCCCATAAATTTATAAATGGTCTTAGAAATAAAACAACAGAAGGAATATTGAGGGGTAAAATCACTAAACAAGACCAAAGTTGTAAAGCTCTTGTTCATTATTAGTGAGGGGCTTTTCACAGAGGTCATCTAGAGAAATAAGTTTGCTTATTATGGAATAAATTACTTGAAAACATAGGCAAGATATATAGTTAAAATGATAGTAGTTAAAATGATTCCAAGTAGTCATTGACATGAGATTTGAAAAAAATAGTGATAGTAATAAAAAATAGCTTTTTGTCTGGACTTCTGAAAGTTTTAAATGAAGACACTTATTGTATGTTGGGTTTCACTACAGGGTTTGAGTCTATAAATTACAAACACTCAAAAAAAATTTTTCAAGTTAATTTGCATTTCAGCATGTGAATAGGAAACTTTTTTGATGAGTAATAATTGCAGAATTATCAAACTGAAAAACTGTGTCTTTTCATATATTGCAGAATTATCAAACTGAAAAACTGTGCCTGTCTTTTCATAGGCATTAGAGAGAGCCAAATTTTTTTTTCATGACTGTTATTATGTTACTGGTTGCAGGGATTTGCTATGTTTTTATACCAGTTCTAACCCCTTTGATACTAGGGATTGCATTAAACAAACACGGAGCAGAATGCACAGCATTTGCCAGACCTGTCAAGATATTTTCAGAATTTTCATTTCCTTATCTGTGCTACTTAGTGTGTCAATAAAGTCATGTGCATTTTGTATTCCCCCCATCATTATTATAGATTGATTTTTTTTAGTATTTGATTTTTTTTAGAATAAAACCAGACTGTTCAGAGACTGAAGACTGTGTTTTCCTGTTTGTATAAACAGCGTTGCACAAATTATCCTTGCTATAAAAAAAAAAAGATAATAACAACTCTAAAAGTTTAAAATTTCTGAGTTATCTGTTTTAAAGTGTGCAACTGTTCTTTCTGTTACAGATGAATGACATTATAGTGACAGTTAGAGATTCAAATCTGAAGCTGACACTTGCTTTTGGAATAGGCATGCACCATGCGGGTCTGCATGAGAGAGACAGGAAAACTGTGGAAGAATTGTTTGTGAACTGCAAAATCCAGGTGCATTTCTTCTTTGAATCCTGCCATAATGAGTTTTACATGGAATTTGAAAAGTTGGCTTTTTGTTACATATACCTCATTAATCTTTCTTTCTGTTTTAGGTTCTTATTGCCACAAGCACATTAGCTTGGGGTGTAAATTTTCCAGCTCATTTAGTAATTGTTAAAGGAACAGAATTCTATGATGGAAAAACAAGGCGTTACGTGGATTATCCCATTACAGGTACTCACATAAATTATGGAAATGCTCATATGCTGAAATGTATTTCAAGGATATGCAAATTATCTGAATTATTTAGTAACTGATCACTGAAAATACCTAATATGGGTAGAGAATAGGAGTGCTGAGGAAAGGGTTTCTTTGATGCAAGTTGTAAGAGAACTCTTAAGATTTTATGTAATAATGAAAATGTTTCTGTCTTGCAAATCTTTTTCATGCTAAATTCCTTTAATGTGTATCATCCAAAATAGATATTAAACAATTAAAGGGACAATATAAAGTCATATTTAGCTACATATTTAATTGTATAAAAGGAAGTTTTCATGCATCAAATAATTTTTTTCATTTTTGAAACCTTTTTTAAATAGAAACAGATTTCTAACAGTAAACTTAGCCATGGTTTGAAATGCAACAGTTGAATCACACATGTATGAGAACATAAAATTTATACGTAGTCACTTGACAGTAAACAAAAAGCCTTAACTAGTCTAGTATCTTCAGTGATGTGATACTTCAAGTAAGTGATATTTCAAAAGTAAGCAGCTAAATTAAATATTTGAATTTCTGGTTTGATATAGACTTTTATTGCTTTCTGGCTCCAGTAAACTCCACTTTTCATAAACTGTTCTGCAGTGTTTTCAACAAGCTTAAGAAAGTGAACCATGGAAGAACTTCTTTCAGAGTTCAGACAGGGAGAATATTTGTCTGCATGGTACTAAGCTTGAAGAATGAGGACAAGCTAAATTTATTCCAGGTTTCCTGTTCTGTTTTCCCTTTCTCTTTTTGCAAGAGAAAGTTTATTATTAAATAATCCTATACTGTGCCAGAGATGTGTACACCTAAGGACAATCTAAATGTTATTTGTAATGTAAATAGAGAGCTTGCATCTTTTTAACCACACACTGTCTTTTCAGCAAGAGAAGCTTACTAATGAAAAAAAGCTTAAACTGAAAATACTACAGAGGTTACTTCTCCAAGTAAGCCATCATAGAGCTTAATTTAGTGGTTAGTGCTCTGCAGGAAACTTGGGATCAATTTCCAGACCAAACTTTGAATCTCTTTCAAAGATTCTGGTATGACCTGGGAGCTTAGCCATGCGCACTTGCATTTTGTGACAGACTTAGGCTGATGTAAACTTAGTACAAACAGTCTCTGCAGAGAAGTAGTATCTCGCTCGTCCCGACTGGAAGAATAGTGACAACTGACTTTATTACTGAATGGGGAAAAGTGATGAGGAAAGAAATCAACTGAAGTTTTAAATTTTATGTTGAGTCTGTGGGACTGTCAGAGAGAAGTAATAGAGAAAATAATATATTCAAAAGAAATCAGAAACTCGATAAGCATTGAGGACTTACTATGCTGTTTTAGAAATCTGTTGTACAAGTACTCACAAAGGCTTTAGGGAATGCTTATACTTTCACTCTTTATTGTCTTTTTGAATTCAGGTGACTTGGACATTGGGGGTTGTTCAATTCTTGAATTTTCAATAAGACTTTGGGGGCAGGGAGTGGATGGAATACGGCCATCTGCGATGGAAGCATTTAGATTTTGTTGTCTGCACTGCAACAGAAAATGCAGATTCCTTACTTTATGAAGAAACATGTGGTGTGGTTTGCTTAGAGCATTTTTATTTTTAACTTTCTAGAGAATATTTATGCATCTGGAAGTTCTGTGGATAGGTAGTACAGTTTTGCAGCAGCAATAAAAAGAAAATGTAATGAGTTTCTTTCTGAAATACTTCCAAAATTTCACAATATTGTCTTTAATGCTGCCCTTGAGTTATGCCTTCACTGTTCCGTCATGGTATAACTTGGTTCCTCCCTGCTGAAGTTACCTTTCTGTATCAGGGATGCATTTGGCTCCAAGGAAGCAGCTAAGGGCAGAATGAATCATTCTGGAGTGCTCAGTAATTTAAAAATAAGTAAAAACGCTTCTTTGAGTGAAGTCAGAGGTTTTGGGGAGGACCTTTTCTCAGTTACCAGACATTTAGTCAGCCCATTGGATCATATTTAACATTTCAGGAGTTTAGTCCAGTGATTAAAAGCAGCCAAGCAACGTACAGTCAGTAAAGAAAATGTTGGTTTTGGATAATTACTTAGTGGATATTGGCAAAAATCATTTCCTGACGCTTGTTGGTAAATCCATTTCCTATATGGTATTATGCACAATTTAATTCACCACATTAGAATAGCAAGAAGTTGTTTCGTCACCCTCCTGTGCACGTACCTATTCAGAAACATCATTTTCAAACTAGTTTCATTTTACATTTTCATGTCATTCCTAAATTAACAAAAGGAATAAACTGATAAAAAACATTGCTGTCTATATAGCTCGTGGGTATGCAAATGAAAATGTGTTACTAAAAACTGTTTATCATCATCGGGCTGTTTCTCCTATCATTGTCCATTGCTGTATGCCATTCTACACCCTCTGGCTTTTCCTTCCCCAACTGACGATTGGACCAAAAGCTTATTGATTCTGAAGCCAAAGAAATCGCTTTTCAAAATGCCAGGTACTGCAAGCCACACGTTGTGCAGTTGTGATAGAGCTCATAGAGAATACACAAAACATTAAAAGTTTTAAAATAAAGATGTAAAACTCACTTATGAATTGCTATCCATTGTTTCTTCAAAGTTAAATAGCATCTGGAGGCACCAAAAAGGAATCAGAGCTCTGTTGAGCGAGACACAAAACACCAGATTATGAGAAGACACAAACAAACAGATGATAAGCATACTTATCTTGATGGCCGGGTAGCAAGTTGAGCGTGTTTTGTATAAACTAGTGTTTTCAGTGTTTATAGAAATCATTAACTAGTATTTGCAAGTGATGATATGTAGGCAGAGTAGTAGAGGTAAGCTTTAACTGTACCTGCTTTTAAATTTGTATATCGTGATCTGATATAGGGACAACATATGATACGAAACCATCTCTACTCCAGTGCTAATAACTAATATAACTTGTCCTGAAGTTTGAGTGGTAAAGATCATAGCTGTCAGTGATTAGAGTTTGCCTTTACCTTTTTTCCTCTAAAATATTCAAAAGCTAGGAAATCGTATATAGCAGAAAAGCTTATACAAGGAACTTTTATTATTGTGAAGTCAAATACTTGAAAATTAGGAAATAATAGACAGTTGCCATTGTAGGCTTCATGAGTTCTCTTACTCATCATCTTTAATTGCATATGATCAAACGAGGGATGGATGTGGAATGGAAGGAGAGTAGAGGAAATTTATATTAGATGTAAGCTTGGATTCTATTGCAGTGGGTGGTCTTCAAGTATGCAGGAAGATAGTCTCTGCCAGAAAGAAGTTCATCGTAAATTTATCTGAGGTGGAAAAAAAAATTAGATGTGTCAAAACCAATAAGGCATACAAGGCCAAAGAAATCCAAAAATACTGTATTGCACATTATACAGATGTAAATACATTTATTTATACATTCAGATGAATATGTTTGTTTTATACATTATTGTTTCTTTGGCAGATGTACTTCAGATGATGGGACGTGCTGGCAGACCACAATTTGATGACCAAGGAAAAGCTGTAATTCTAGTTCATGATATTAAGAAAGACTTCTACAAAAAATTCCTTTATGAACCTTTCCCAGTGGAATCAAGGTAAAGATAAAGCAATCAGAAAAGCTGATCAAACTATAAACAGTACTACAAATGAGGGACAGAGAAAAGAGAAACAAAATTCCTGTGCCGAATACCTCCTAAATATTGGGGTCCTAGAGGAAGATCATTTTCCAAAAAACTATCCATCTTTAGGCAGAAAAATCCTTTCTTCCAAGAGTTCTGAAGCACTGTTGAGCTCTTTAGTCCATTCCCAGATGATACTACAAATGCTTCTCTGCTTCTGAGTGTTGTCTTAGACATCTGAATGAGAGCACAAACTGTTCTTCAAGGCCAGTGTGTAGGACAACTATAGATGATCCTCAGAACCCTCTCTGAAATTCTGTGACAAATTCTTAATAGGAAAAAAAATAGGTGAGTTTCTAGCACTTTTTACCTAGAATACTTGTACCATTATAGATACCACATTCTTCAAAATCTCACAAGTTCAAAAAGAAATCTGCATGGTGTAAACTATTACTAATACACTTTCAACACATCTTTCACTTCAAAACTGCAATATTTTTGTCAGAAATGTAGAAACACCACCTTTTTGCAGCCTCTCTGAACTTAGCTGGTACAAAGTTTGCTGTGCAGCATAATGTGACTCGTGCCTTGGTTTTGATATTTATAATATACTTAGTCGTTCAACAAGAAGCAGAACTAGAACGGTCTCCTATAGATGCATGTTTCATGGAGGAATTCTCAGACATCTAATAAAGCATGAGCATTACTGAAAGCTTTTCTCAGTGATGAAGAATTCACAGTATTGTCCTCCTAAGGACATTTCATCCCTCAACATAAGCGATAATGGGACCTCTATCTGGTCAGGAAATTTGTAGGAGCTTGAGAGTGCTATCCACCTGTGAAATGTAGTTGAAATGGGCTGGTGTATTTGAAGGTTAATTTCTGTGGTGCACAGACATATAATTTTTGCAAACAAAGAATGTGGAGACATGCGCTTCATTTCCTTAGGAAACCACACTTTTCTTTTTTTAACATATAAATTTTGCTTAGGACAAAATGCTAGGAGTTGAACTTCTTCAAAATGATAGCTAATAAGTCAAAAGAGCAGTACGATTAAAATGTTGATGATATATCCAGACTGTATGGCACTAGCATAAACTAGGAAATCTCTCAATTCATTAGTAAGTGGTGTTTCTAAATAAAGAAATAGTATCTTCAGTATAACAGTAGTAATCACGCCTTGTTCCTGTTTGCGATACTATAAATACTCTATGTTTCTAGTAGCTCATTTTGTGTGTATATATTTACTTTGTAGTTTGATATACTCCGTCTTTTACTATAAACAAAGAATATTTGATAAATTTTCAGATTAAGATACACATATTAATAACAATCTAGTTAAGTTCTATGTAGGTTGTGATCTGATTAACTTAGAGTTGTCTTGGTCTTTTTATGATCAAGTATTTGAGAGGCTTTATAGCTTCAAAGAGAAAGTGCTTTGGGGTTTCTTGGAGGGTTTTTAGTTTTAGAACGCTTTCCCATCTGTTCTACCAAAGAGCAGATTTATCAGCTTTGTGTAGTATTTCCAATTTGTAAAATTAAACTTCATATTTTTTTAATAAAAATTTTTTCTAAAAGCCAATGTCTGTTTTAGTTGTGAGACTTGAGTACAAAACTCATATGACAGGCCTTGTGCTCTCACTGATCGTGGGTCTGAAATACAGCACATTAGAAGCAAAAGAGAAAGCACTCTTTATTATGGAATAGATATTGAATCATCCATCCAGTTTCTGCTGGGCAGTCTGGGTAGAACATCTGCAGTTCTTACCTTCAGAAGCGTGTGATCAGTGGTATACAGCAGTAAAACAGCTACTCATACCAAATTATTCTTTACTTTTAGCAATAGGGAAAGAACAGTAGCAAAAGAAAAGGGATTATAACAGAGGAAAAATTAGGCTGATCCTTAAGGATATTTGCCGTTCCCTGATTGAACTCTATACAGGCACGGTCTCGTTAGATACCCTAATGGAGGTCTTTGTTCCATTTAATGACTCTAAACAGTATTTTACTTCGTAAGAATCATTTTAAACTGCTTTTGTTCTTCTGTGTTTCTGAGTTTAGATTCTGGGTAATAAAAGTGGCTGCTTTTTTAGTGGATGAAGATGAGGCAAAATCTGGGGGAAGCAGTTTTGATGTAATTTTAATAGCCCTCAAGTATTTGTCAAGTATTAGCTAAGTTATTGCCACTGTTTCATTTCCTGTTTGTCTTTCCATATGATTCTCTATTGGATTAAACCAGCATGATCATATGGTCAACACACAGTATTCAGAAGTTACCACTGAGTAGCTCCATCTGAATACATTCCATGAATGACTTAAACTTGTGCATTCTCGGTCCAGTCAAAAAATAATTTGAGCTTCATTCCACTATTGAGTAAAGAAGATGACTGACCTTGCAATTACATTCCCCCTTCTCCCCCTCTTCTCTTTTACCAGAAGATAAATATATAATATTTTCAGATTAAAAGTAATAAACCTTTTAATGCACAACTCTACAAAATATATTACCTGTCTTTGTGATTATGGAGTCAGCTAAGACCTCTTGTTTTCTGTTCTTCAGCTTGTTAGAAGTGCTGGCTGACCACTTGAATGCTGAAATTGCTGCTGGAACTATTACTTCTAAGCAGGATGCAATGGATTATATCACCTGGACTTACTTCTTCCGTCGACTAATAATGAACCCAACGTGAGTATAAAATACAAATGCAATTTAATCTAAAGGTAACTTGAGGGTAGAGTTGATCCAAAGGTGATCCCGCTGCTATTGGAGCCTAGAATACTCGGCAGTCTCCAATGTAGGAGCATTACTGGCCCACGTATGGAATAAAACTTGTGTGCACTTTTTTTTAATAATTTTTTCTCTAAATATAAATGCATTTTTTGGCAGATAGATAACTTTACAATTTAATGACAACTATAAAATAGCCTTATTGAGAGGACTACATCAGCATCCCTAAAATAAAACTCCAAATTATCACATTCCTTTAGGTATTGTATTTATAATGTGTTACTTTTTTTTTTAGCTACCATATTGATATGTTCTGCCCAGTTTTCTGTAGAAAATCTATTAAGACCTGGATTTTCCTAATAAATGAGAGAATAGCTATCAGCTGTTCCTCTGTGGTAAAGTTTACTTTCATTAGGGTATCCTGGTGAAACCACGTGTGCAATATTTTCAATGATTGTTATCATCCTGCCTAACTCCAGCTGGTATGCAGATCGTTCTGAGCTGTTCCAGCAATGTAGCCTGCCTTTGTCACAACATTGTTTGGGGTAAATGGTATGTTACCTATCATGTGATCATTCACCCACCAAAATAATGTGGCAAATAAAGAATTAGGCATTTATAGCACTAAATATTTCTTGATGTACTCCAGAGTGTTGTATTTCTGAAATCACGTTAATGTCCGTAACATTTGGCTGGGTTCTTTATGGGCAACTGCTGGTGGGAGCCTGCAGGTGATAAAATAATTTCCTTTAATTCTTTTTTAGTCTTCATTAGTTTTGAGTTCTGCATCTAGTCCTATGCTGAATCTGCCACAAAACAGAATTTCCATCTGATCTTCTTGGGAAATAAAAAATGAACAGTGTTAGAACTGTAAACTAAAGAAAACATACCCAATTCTCTCAGTTCATAACTAACAAAATTAATACATTTATGTGGAAGGTATTTCTCCCCTGAGAGTGACAAACAGCTAAATTCTGGTTTTGTCTAGGTTAGATGTGGGTAAAGCTGTGTTTAGTTGTATGACTTTGGAATTTGCACATGATCTATACTACAACTAATGTTAAAAACTATGCCACTGCAGACGCTATTCTTTTTTAGTATACAGAATAAGTAATGTTATTTTAAAACGTCTTGCTCTTGAATTGCTGTGTTAAAGTGATTTTGTTGATTTGTCTTTGGCAAGATTTGATCATGTGATATCTGTGGTAGGTAGATTTTTAAGACACAACATATAGCCCAAAAGTAAGTGTAGAATATAGAAATGTAGTCATTTGATTTAATAGGCAAGCTCTTCCCAATATAAAAGAAGGTTCCCACTGGAGTATGAGGTTGGCATGTTTACCGATGGTCCTTTTTTCTCAGCAGTTTCTTTAATGTGCAGTGTCACAGAAAGCTAAATTTGAAGTTATCACAATATCAACTTTTAAGCAAAAGTTCTGCGATTCTGAGAGGATTGTGGGAAAAAGGGGGGGGGGGGGGAAGAAAAATAAAACACTATATTTCATAGTGAGATGCAGAACCTTTGTAGTGAGAAACAACATGAACAGATCTTGACTAGTCATGTCCATAATGGCAGGATAGGAATGCATATTGAATTTTCTAATGAAATTGGAGTCTTTCATTGGAACGCCACACATGCAGGTTGGAACAGTTCACAAGTTGTGCTGCTCTACCCCCTGTCTCATCCACACGGAGGTACTCAGCATTCCTTCTGTACTCAGTCATGCAGGGAGAAAAATTAAGGACATTATTGACTGTGTCAGAGGTCACTTCTAGATACCAAGTGCAAATGCAATGGATGTGCACACTTTCCATTCTTTGACATGATAATAAATTCAATTAATTTTCATCCAAAGTTACTAAACTAGCCAGTCAGTAGAGTTCCTGGACCTACTATCTGTGGTATTTTCAGACCTCCTACAAGCCAAGCAGTTCCAGCGTAGTCAGTTTGAATGAGATACATCAAAGGAAAACTGAAGAGTTTTTTGAAGAGAAGTCGGTGATAGTTGAGATAACTTTGAATAAATTGCAATATAGTAATGGAGTTTACTGTGCCATAGATGAGCATGTGAAATGATTGATATTACCAAACAAGAACTATTTGTGGCCCTTAATAATCCAAAGGTTTTAAGGTTTATTTTTTTCACGAGAGTAGGAGCACAATGGCTGGATTTTGGTTTGGGTAGTTACACAATACCTACTCAGTGTCACTTGATACAGTGTTCTTTATCATGTCCTGCCCCAAAGCAATTTTGTTGACTTTCTCTCCACTGTGAAACAAGAACTATTTTCCAGCCAGCAGGTGATTGTACCTTAGTGGTGAATAAGTAATTCCCATATGCATGATTGGTAAATTGCCTTGGGATTCATTGGCATAAAAGTCACTGCATGTGATGCTGTAAATCCCCAAAATAATGGGCTTAGATAATATGCAGAAGATTTATATTCTCATTTATTGCCAGTTTTAGCTACTTGTATATTAAAGCTGCATAAACAAATCTAGGATCATTCTATTCCAATCCAGTATCATAAAATGCCTTACTGATGCCTACAATTTGTACTATTTAAGTAATGTTAATCTACCTTTGTTGTGAGCTAGAGATCGAAGTATCCTTTTGCTCTAAGTATCCAGGTTTCTTCTAAACATGCAGTCATTACAAAAGTTTTTCTGGCACACGAGGTAATTCATTAGACTTGTAATAATGGCTCTTTAAATGGTGGTGTTGAAAATCTTTGCACGTTACAAAACTTCATCAAACCATTTTAATTTTCTTGTTTGATGAACGCTTCTATCTTGAAATCTGTGAAATGGGTCTTAACTGCCCAGTTAAGAGGAGTAATTGAGCTGTTGGTTTTGGGGGAGTGGAGTAGCTTGAGTGCTAGTTTTGTTCAGAGGCATACTGACTAGTCATGTGCATGTTGTTCAAGAGATGATGTGCAAATGAGAGGGGTGGTCCAAATAAAACTGCTTATCAAACTGTATCAGTCTCAATATCCAGAGTTTCTTCCCTGTTCTCTCCCTCCCCCAAAGCAATTATTCCTAAATGTAGAGGGTTTTGAATTTGCATGTTAAGTCAAAGTTTCTGTGCTACTTCAGTCAAGTACTACAACCTGTTCTCCTTTCCACATACAACTGTAATCGATATGTTCTTTACTTAGTCAAGATCATACAGGACAGATCAGCAAAGTGCCCTGTTCTGTGAAAGGGGCTATTTTGAGAGGCTCGTCTGTCTCCTTTCCTTGGCTGAAATTTCTTGACTTTCACTCGTGTTTACCTTTTATAAAAGATTATAATCTGCAACTTTCTACAAAAGAGAAATGGCTATGGGAAACATTTTCTATAAATCAGGTTATGATATTTTCCAGATACATGTGCAGTAAAAGAGAAAAAGAAATTTAAAACATATGTAAAGTTAAGCAGAATCAGCTTTCATTTGGGAAGTTAATTTTTAGATATTCTGAGAGCACACATCGCATCACTATTAAAATGTGTGTAGTTTTTTATGTATTTATAAATATATATGACTGTGTGTGTGTGTACGTACACACTTATAAAATCAATTTTCTGCGTAAATGCCTTGTGAAGACCTGAAAAAATTTTTATTAATTCATTCTAAGAATTATTATTAAGGGTTTTTTTTTTCACTTTATGTCAGTCTTACGAAGTTTTCTGGAGTGAAAGAATAATGTGGCATAAATTATAATTAAATTATCTCAGACTGATGCTCTTATCATCATACGCTTATATTTTACTTTAAATTTCCATTTTTCAGTATGATTAGCTGAGCATGTCTAATAATGTGAATAAAACATCTGAATAAAAATTATTGTTATATACTGTTCCAATATAGTTTCTGGTATTGAGGTGACAGCTAATACTGGCCAGTCAGGATAGAATAATATGTATTTCAGTGACAAAATCACAGTTCTTCAGAATTTTAGGGCTCATTTGGAATTATATCAGAAGGGGGGATTACTGAAGAAAGTTAAATTAACTAAGATTAAGAGATAAAATGGAAAAGTTTTGGCAGTAGCTACTAAGAACAGAAGCCTAGAAGATGCAGGTATATTACACTGCAGTAATTACCAATATCCATATTTTGAGTTGGAAAAAAGCTATTTCTCAGGGTGGATTCTTTCTTTTACAGTCACATGTAGATCTGTGTGCCTGTATATATACTTCATCAATAACAGCTATAGCCATTATTATGAATTTCATAGCAAGAGCTTGTTCTTTTAAATTATTAGGGTCACAGTGATGTAAAAAGCACAGGAATGTAGTTCATGGTATGCTTTTACCAAACTATTCACACGAATAAAGTTTTTCTGATTCTCTCAGACTGGGACGCCCCAGGCTGCTGAGTATTTGAGCTGCCTCCTGTTCCCCAGTCTGCTGCAGTCTTAGGTGAGAATGCAAAGCTGAAAACCCCGCATCTCCCCATTCAGAAAGGAAATTCACATAATTGTCTTCCTGCTCTTGGATATGATTTACCTGTACAAATAATTTGTTGGAATATATCATAGGAAAAAGAATTGCTCTATCGATATGTAAGCAAATTTACATGTGCCTATCCCCTCTGATTTCTCACCTTATGAAGACATCTTAGGAGGTAAACTTTCTTGTAAATATTTTAATTAGGAGCACTGATGTGGAGGCAAATACCTTGCTGATGTCAGAGAAACTGGACTCTTTTTTTACCTTCTTAAATAACCACAATGTACAATATACTAAAAACTGATTAAAGATAGTAATGTATCTATTTCTCATACCTGGCATAAGCAAATATATGAATGCAGGAAAACACAATACAAGTAAAATACAGATAGAGATTACTGTCTGCAGCATTTGGGCATGCTGTAATGCATTTTAGCAAGCCAGTCACAGACTCCAGAGTCAGTCAGTGATGCCTTAACAACAGAAGTGAGTTGGTACACTGGTTCATAGCTCTCTGGCTATGAAGGTCCATCAATTGTGCCATATACTCAGTACCATTTCCATGGAACCATTTGAAGATGGGAGCTGCTGAAGGCCACAAGCTGATGAAAGTAAACACAATCGATGACTGCAGTGAAGCGATTTACAAAAAAGACTATCTGTGCTTCCCCCATACTTGTTCATAACAAAATTCTGCTTTCAGGACTGTAAAATCTCAGACAGCACACTTTCATGCTATCAAGTGAATGCTGTAGATTCGGCTTTTTTGTGCATTTGTTTCAAAAGGCCTTCCGGCTAGCAAGTTTTTTCTTTTAATATTTTTGGCTGACTCTGCCACCGATTTTCATTATGTGTGTCACTATTACTACCGTATAATCTGAACATAAAAAACATGGTGCTGTAACAAATGACTTCACAGCATTGACAGTTATAGCAGGACCATTTCAAGGCTGATGAAAAATTTCCCAGAGAGATCTCAGGGCAGGTTTACATAAGCTAAACAGGAAATGATTGCCACCATTCACATTAAATCCTAAATGTTTTGTGTAACTTCATCTACATTTTATGTTCCTGCACGTCTCTCTGTCTTTCTCAGCTGATGAAATTCCACACTTCCTTAGATTAGAGAAATAAGTTCATGTTTCACGGTTTGTTGTTCTTGCTAAGCTCTACAAGGTTTGGGATTTTAAATATATTATTTAAAAGACAACAAAAAGTTCCTTCAGATTTTGATTGTTTAAATTTTACATACTTTGTAAATTTTTATGATACCTAGGGGTTTGTTATTGCTTTTTCCCAATGGACTACTAATGGAGGTTAGCCTGTCTAGCCCATGTGCTAGATGCTGTTAGGATAAAACTGCCTTTGACTTTCACACCTCTCAGGGGACGAGTAATTGTTGTGTTCAAACAGCCTGTAATTGTGATCCCGCTGGCTTTCTCAGTACGCTTCTGGCTATTAGAATCATTAAACAACTCAGCACCTGTTAACAGCATTGTAAATATTCAACCCTGCTTGTGTGCAGGTTGAGTCCAATATAGGAGAAGGCTTACAGAGCCCAGCCTCATAAATTAGAGCTTCTGACAAGTCAATTATTGTGAAACTGGGCTTCACTGTGAAATAAATGAAATGGTGTGCTGATAAAAAGGTAGGCTGTCTGTTTATAGCAAAGGGAAAATAATGACTAGATGATTCAATGCAGTGAGCATGAAACTGCATTGTTTTTATTCTTTATCTGTAATTAAATAGTTAGGTAATATAGCTTCATAGAGGAACTCACATATGATGCAGTTTTTATACTTGGAGCATACCAACATGCCAAATTCAACTTGCATTTATGCCCGTGCATTCAAAATAATGTCTAATGTCATGATCCCTCTGTTTTCGCTAATGATTTTAACATAGTCTTTCTAGATGAATGGCTTTGCTTTTTATTAGGGGAAAATGTGCTGAGTGACCAAGAAGCTCCTGTGGGTGTGCTCAAAATTATATTTACCCCATTATAGATAGTAGTTAAAACACACTGGTACCACTTCACTCAAGATTACAAACCATTTAAGATTTTTCTTTACATTGTTTTATTTGCACTAGGCAGCTATATATTTACTCCTCTGACAAAAAATTACTGAAAATCAGCAAATTTAAAATTCACATAGGTTTTAAAAGGCATTATAATGCCTTTTATGATTACGACTTCAGTGTGAAATACTGCAAATTAGGCAGAGCACGAGATAAAATCTGTTTGAATTACTGTCTTAAATTTCAGTCTCAAAAAATAATTTCAGTGTATTGCCCATATCTCTTCCTTTGTTTTATCAGTATTCATCATCAGTGTTGTGGTACTGCAAATAATAGTGCTGCAATGATACGGTGAAAGTCTGAATACCGTGACAACAAAGTGCCTTAATTAGAATCATTTCAGTAGTGTTATATTCAATTTAGAGAAAAATACTAATGATCATTAGTGGTTTAGATGTGTAAAATAGAACATCTTCTCACATCCTTAAACAACTTACGAAGTTAATTTGCTCAATTCTTTCCAGAACGTAAACAAAATGTTACAAAGTAATTTCTGCTAATAAACAGACTCTAAATGTGTTTGGTGATAAGATGTCAGATGGAAATGTTGACCATTTTTATCATTACTACATTACTTTAGAAAATTTAAAACGGAACTCATGAAAATTAAGTTGCATTGAAAACAATGTTAGAGTACTTTTGCTACAAATAAGTTTTCTTTGCATGAGGCTCATAATGTGTGGCTGTCTACTATATAAAGCTTTTTAGTCAATGTAAATATATCTTTTGGTTTCGTTTTGGACAATAGCTATGTTTTAAATATTTGAGATCATCTCAGCATGAACCCATATAAAATATCACAGAGTTGAATACTCCACTGCCATATATATACACTTTGTTGTTGTCTAATGTAGCTGACTGTTTTCCTGCTATCAGAACAGATTTTTTTAATCTTTTTCTTATGGTAGTAGTGTTTTACTCCAACTTTACCCAATTATAAGTGAACATTCAAAGTGAATTAACCCCATAATTTGGGATTAATAACAAGGGAGAAATCTGGAAATTACTGTACTGCTATTTAGCATGCAGGCATTTTTCAGTTATGCTATTGCTATTCAAAAAGATAAATGTTAAAAACTGTGTTTAAGAAAATAATAATGCAAATCAGATTCTGTTAATAAAACAGCCATGGAAGGATGCTTGTAGTTTATAAAAATGCAATTCCATCTTTTGAAATTTGCTAACAGCAGCATTACAGTAAACAAAATAGAGCTTAAACCAGAGAATGGGATTCATCTGCCCAAATATAGCATCAGCAACTGAACTGACTGTCCAAAGTTCTTTTAAGAAAATAATAATGCAAATCAGATTCTGTTAATAAAACAGCCATGGAAGGATGCTTGTAGTTTATAAAAATGCAATTCCATCTTTTGAAATTTGCTAACAGCAGCATTACAGTAAACAAAATAGAGCTTAAACCAGAGAATGGGATTCATCTGCCCAAATATAGCATCAGCAACTGAACTGACTGTCCAAAGTTCTTTTTTTTAGTCAGTGATTACATTTCACCTCATCCTAAAGCAGATATATAAAATACTTCAGATGAATAGCATTCTGCAAGCACACGTTTCTCTTCATTGGCAGTAAAGGTAGTTAAAAAGACTAACTCAGGTGTAGCTGTAACTATGTAAAATCAGCTAAAATGAATCTCAGCACACTGTTTTGCAGCCTGTTGTTCATCTGCACAAAATAACACTGAAAGAACCTAATCTCCATTACGGCATGTGGCATTGTTTCCAGTGGGGATGCTGAGTACATCGTAACAGTAGGAAATTTTAGTAAAGCAGCTAGTATGAACAAAGGAGCATCTTTCATTGTTGCAGCAATCTCAGTAGTCCATTTGTGCGACAGTATTTTACAGAATTAAATGAGCAGGGACAACCTTTTTTACTGCGCTTTTTAACATTTCAATAAAGCATCAAATTTTTTGTTTGTTTGAATTCCACTTTGAAATTGCATGATTTAATTGCTCTGCTTAAATTCAGAATTTTTAAACTTTCTGAGCATGCTCAGTTTTTCTTTACGGCTCACTGAACTTAATTGTTACTTTCTGAGTTGGTGCCTTTGTTGAATCTAGGACACAAGTTCTTACTACATTTTTATCTGGAGTTTTCTAGGTAAAAGCTCTCCCTGAAATTATGTTAGTTTTTGTGAGTAAGAATCTTATAATACAGCTTAAATTCTACAGTTAAGGAGTGCAAACTTCAGTCACTGGGTCTTTTTTATATGCTGGCATAACAGTATGTTTTGGCACAGTTTTTATAAACATTTTTCCTTCATACAGATACCTAAGAACCATTATTACTATATGTAGTTTACCTAAACGATTTTACCTGAAAATGAACATGTGAAGTAACCACATTGACAAATACCCTATTCCTTTTTTAGCAATTTTAACTTTGAGAATAAAATGACACGGAAATATGACAACAAACACCAACATTTGGATTGGTGTAAGGTTACTTTTTCAAGAGATGTCACTATATGCCTAGTTTTTATTTTCAGAGTTCCAGGATGTATGAACAGTTGCTATCCTTGGTGGGTTTTCTTCCTTTCTCTTGAAGTAAAAATACTGTTACTTGTGTTAGTATTGCTTGTTCACTTTCATACTTATATAATCAGGAAAATATACTTATGCAACCAGGAAAATTTTCCCACTAACAAAATATAGCCAGTCCAGTTCTGTTTGTATCAACCTTTCTATTAATAGACAGAGAAATTACCATCTTTCCATATGTACATGCTTGTATTATGTTGGTTACTCCCACAAACCATTTAAGAATCATTAATTTCTTGTTAGACTATATAAGGGAATAGTTCTGTATTTAATTGTTTAATGTGGATATTGCTGTTCCAAGTATGTGTGTGTATTATAGCAGCCTTGTAAGTTTTCCTACAAGACGTTATTGTTAAGAATCTTCAGAGTGTCAAAAGTATTCATGTAATGCATCTGTTTTCAATTTATCTAGTTACTATAACTTGGATGATGTGAGCCATGACACTATGAATAAGTACCTCTCAAGCCTTGTTGAGAAATCCCTCTTTGATTTGGAATGCTCCTTCTGTATTGAAATTGGGGAGGTAAGACTAATCTGTGCCTTACAAGATTCGGTAAGATACATGCTCCTAAAAGTTGGGAACAGCAAGATACATGCTCCTGATTTGAGATGTTAGAGTTTGTCTGTGGAGCTATTTGTAAGACTTATGTCGAAAACTGAGCTTAATTGGGTTTGCAGCTAAATTATGATGCTAAATCATCTTTGCTGTTCTCTCTTATAAAGTAGTCTTAAAATATTTTACAGTTTTGTAGGAACCATTTATATTGAACCATGTATATTTGATTCCCCTTCTAACAGGATAATCGCAGCATTGAACCTCTGACATATGGCCGCATTGCTTCCTATTACTACTTGAAGCATCCAACTATTGGGATGTTCAAAGATCAGTTAAAACCTGAAAGCAACATTGAAGAATTGCTCTTAATTCTGACAGTAAGTGCTGGTATTTTCTTAACTTAAACATATGTAACTCGTGACTCTTAAAGACACTTACAAGTGTATGAAAAAACACCCCAAAATTAAAAAAAGCCTTTCTTCCCTGATCTGTAATTTCATTTTTTGTTGTTTTGAGTAATATACCTGAATCATTTTTGATGTTTCAAGTGTTTCATCTAATCAGTACATCAAAACTACTGTATACACCTGTTTCTCTTCTTATGTCCCTTTATAATATTCAGGATCTATACAAATCTAATATTTGGTTTTTTCTAAGTAAGTTAGGTATAATACTAAAATGCCAGAATAATAAGTGCATATCAACACCCTAAATCTGTACCAGGGCCATCACTTTGCACTGGGACAATCCAGAAGATACAGCAGCTTTAAGAAGTGGGGGAAACATGTGGGGAAGACCTGTTTCCTAAAATGCCTTCTTTTCCTTCTCCCAGCCACCTCACGATCCCTGAGGTCATAACCTGCAGTAATGCCAGCTCATACAGTTAGTCTAGTGACTGTTTAGTAGAGAAGTGCAATGCAAGGCAAAAGATTTTAGGGTACAAATCTGGAGACATGGTGTACAATGCAGCGTGATAGTATTACGTTCTCATCATAAAAGAATCAGATTTTACTCCGTTTTCCTTTTTAAGTACTCTAAGTAGTTCTATCTACAAAGTCTTCTTTTTCAAAATGGTATAACTCCACTTGTACACACAGATTTGAAAACCAGAAGTGCCTGAATATTATCCAGGAAAACTGACTTCTGCCCACTTATGATTATAGTCTCTGTTATACTATATACAGTATACAAGTGGCCCAAATTCTTTAATATTCTGATTTCCAAGTGTTAACTTCAAAATCTAGAGTCCCATCTTATAGTATTTATGTTTGTTACTTCTATATTCCTTATTGTTTCGACATGCTGCCAAAATTTCTCTGAGGAGAAATACAAGAAGAAAAATAAAATAGTGCTATTCAACAGTTTGCATCTCAACAAAATCTGATCTGCATTTTATGACACTAGGAAAGCCACTTTTCTAGTACAGAGACTTTCTTTCTGATAAATTTAAATCACCTGCTGCAAACATTCAGAGTGTTACAGCTCAGAAATAAAGGCCACAGTAATCTTTTATAATGGAAAGTGTTAGACAGCCTAAATAGGGGAATTGCGATCACTGACCCTGCAATATCTGTTGTTCTGTCGTCAGAAAACATTGCAAATTATATGAAATGAAATTCAGTGTATTCGTCTGAATTCAAAATGGTAATCAACCACAATTCCTATATATGCTGTATGTAAAGTAACTGAAATTTTAAGAAGAAATACCCAATAGTGAACAGAAGTTAAATAATATAATGTTGAGTATTCAAGGTGAGAGCTTTACTCCAGCTGCTGTCTCTTTAAAATCTCTTCTCTCTAGAGAAAATTTTCTCCACCTAGAAATTTCAGAATTTTTTTTCAGACAAATTTAGACAGGGAAAGTTTGAGAATAGCATTTGCAGAGATGGGGGACATTTCGTGACACTGCCTAAGCTAGTTAGCAGCATAGGGAAGATGAATGATGGAAGCAGAACCTAGTGCTGCCTATCTTGTCAGGGCTCCTCATCTATTTAAACAGCTTGCATCCATGAAATGCAAAGGTAAATGGCAAATATTTCTGTTGTAGATGAAACCTGGGACCCTACTGTTGGGCAGAGATTGTAAAATTTAAAATTAATTAATCTTGCGTTAATTCTTTCTAATTCTTTATTTTTTTTCTGGAAATATAGTCTTGGAAGTTGTCCATTTACAGTCTTAGAGGAATGAGACTAAAAATAAAATCAGTTAGGGGTCAAAATATGCCACGTGTGCCAATTTGAAAGATGAAAAGGATGTATGAATGCTGGATGCCATTATAGCTGACAATTTTTCCTTACTTTTTATGCAGATGTTGATTTTTATAATTACTAGTGGAATTACTATTCTGTCTTGTTGAAGGTGTAAATTGAAAGATTTTTTTCAATCTGAGGTAGTGTTGAAAAGAATTGCCGTTTCAACAGAGTTATTGCCAAGGATTTTTTTTTTCCCCTAAACACTGTGAATTAATGAGTTTTATAATTACAGCAGTTGCTTCACACCTCTATTGTTAACCAATGACATTACATCTGCCTTGCTCCACTGGTGCCCTCCTCCTTCTTATTGAAGCATTTAGCAGTTTTGGCAATAGGGAATTACATGGCATGGGGTAAGTAGTCTAATTAGGTATAAGTGAAAATCCTGAGGGAAAAGGATATTTAAAAAGTAATTTGAAGAATCTCTTAATGATGCTGGAACTGAAAGCTGTAGCTATAGTACAAAAAGGCCTGTTATCATTGCAAAATATAATTATAATTGTGATTATTCTGCTGATCACTCAGTTTTAAAGTTTTTAATTTTGGACTGTGTTATTTAAGAATAACTGTCCAAAACATTTCTCAAATGCAGTTGCAGGATTTTGTAGATCTGACATGTGGGTCTGTTTTTTTGTTGGCATCGTTCATAATCTTGCAAACCTTTAGACATTTACAAGTTGTCTGAGGTATATAAGGAAGGCAGAAGTGTACAACTGTAACAAAGAAAATACTGATGATGTGGGTTTGAAATGGGATATATACAAGTTTTTACCAAATTGTCAATGTGTAACTTGAAAAGGAGCAAACGTTTGTTTAAAACAAAAACAGGAAAAAAGCAAGTTTGCATTCAAGAATTCAGAAATTTATGATCTTATTAAGGGTTTTAAATCTGAGTTTAAGAGATTTTGAGTTTCAGATTGACATTTTGCCACACTGATGGGAGCGTTCAGAATTCAGGATCATTCACCAGTGAATTACCAATGAATCTTTGCAACTCACGTGAAAAAGTAGTTTCGAGTCATCCTGTTTCTAGTGCTGATGGGTCCCTCAGAAAAGTCACTTGATAGCAAGATTTGTTTCCACTTAGTAGTCAAGACCATTCATAGTCTTCTCCAGTATCTGTTCTTTTCTCTGTTTTTATTTTATCTTTTCATTTCATCATCTGCCAGCATTTTGCAAGATCAAATGAACTTTTTTCAGTATGCTTAGGGGTTGAAGTATCCATAACATGAACAGGAACATGGCACATGGGAACAGCCCTGCAGTCATGTTGGAAGTATATAGTAGTAAGTGATACAAATAGGTGGGGTACAATGCCCTCACGCTTTCCCTTCTCCTCTCAGTAAATCTGTACTCGAGATGTTTAATCTGTCTTGGGTTTGCAGTTATTAAGCGAAGTTCAGATTCTGTTACTTTTGTAACTGACTTGTGCTAGTGGAGCTGTAATTTTTCTGAGAGAAAATGTTTGATGCTTTTCCATAGAGCTTTCTTTAAAATTTTCCTAACCGTGCTTCAGACAGTAGTAATCCAAATGAGCTTAATCACTGTTGAGTTATGGTGCTTCTTGCATTAAGTATTATTGATGAGAAAGTCTTCATGAATTATTACTGACAGGCTGGATTTCCCTGAGGTACCTGAAGACTGTTTCCTTTTATTCTGAAAGTTAGGTGCAGAGATTAAAACGGAGGTCTAGGTAAAAAGCAGTGAGAGATACTTTGGGGTAATTTTTGTCAATTTCTGTACTAAAGCAGCAGTCACCACAAATCTTTTTAAAATCAAATGGAGGTTTGTTGTACCTTGAGGAAAGGAGGTCTGTCTTGATGATTGATCAGGACTGTGATGGCTAGATCCACTAGCTTCATGTTTTTTGGTGATTTGTTACTACGCTTATCCGGTTACCTGGTTAATATTCTTATCTACAGAGCAAATACTTTGTCATATCTGTTCATACCAGACAGTGAAGGGGAGAACATTACCATCTTTCATCCCTTGTTTTATCTGCATGTTTTCCCTTATTTCTGTTTTTGAATTCTACCTGCAAGAGAGAACTAGTTGGTTTTCTCGTGCCTACTGCTGTCTTTCATGTAAACTGGTTATAAGAGATGGGTTTCTTTCTAACTGGGGAGCTTAGGGACAGAACAACATGGTATTTGTGCTATAGTGGGGCACACGTATCCATCTTTCTGTGATATGAACATGGGCTTATAAGTTTGGTATCCACATACCTCTTCCCTATATTTCTATGTGATAATTGACATGGATTTGTTACACTGGCTTGTATTAGACTAAGTATTTTGGAACTCAGCAGAAAATCTGGCATTGCTGGAGTAGCAAATTTGGAAGGTAGAAGGAGGAGGTTCATCAAACAGGTGCTCTCCATTCCAGATACATAGATAACAAAAGGGTAAAGTTGTTAATGCCTTATCTGTCTTTCATTACCTGTTAGGTATTTGTACTATGAGATTCTAGGTAACTCAGTTAACTTATAGCTTTATTTTCTGTTCATCATCATTGGCAACATCCTATTCTAACCAGGGAAATATGCGAGTTTTGTGAATACACTCTCAGTCTATAGTAATTTTATTTCCATAGCAGGATTCTATGTTAAAGCTGCTGGTTCAGTCTCCCATGAAGGGGCCACAAAGGTTTTTGACTCGGTGATAAACTATCTTTTCAACTGGTCTCCAGTTAGATGCCAGGGAAGGAGGATTTAATAAGGTACAAAAATATTGTCCAAGAACAAGCTAATGTGAGCTCGTTTGTGTAATATTTTCTCTGCAAGCTGTGGCAGAAACATTGCTTTTGTTTTTGTTAAGATATTATATAAAACTGGTTTTCTGTTCTATAGCCATTTCAGAAAAAAATCAGATCACTCTTCTTAAGTCAGTCATTTTCTAGTTTAAATTTACATTTACATTCAATTTTGAAGGAAATAAAGGTGCTACTATGATTTTCTTTAAGGCATAAAAGTACAGCAAGACTATATTCATTATGTTATTCTTTTTAAATATGGCATTTCAGTGTCAAGAACAGAAATACTTTATTATGTAAACTTTGTATCAGATGAAAAGCAATTATATTACATGCTAACCTTTAAAGAACTTACATATTTGATTTCACATATA